CAACTCCCCCACCCAGACACCCCCACATTCAGTCCCTTGATAAATCCACCCCAATGTGGAGGCCCCTCTCTCTTATGAGCAACACAGAATAGGAGACGCCCTGAGAGAGCCTGCAAAGTCAATTAGAATTTTTTATTAAATATACATCCTCTCTCTTGGCACAAATCTTAAAATATATAAACATTATATAACAAAGTGTCTTCACTGCAATAAAATAGAACTCCAGATCCAAGAAAAGCAGTCAAAATTGACACGCATACAATACACACACACATTGATGGTGAGGACACGTCTTGACCGAAGGCATTTAACAGTGTTTGTGCTAATAAATGCATAGACCACACAGGCAGTGAGCAGTGCTGGGAAATCCTGCATCACATGGTGAGTAAGGGGGAGACGAGGGTAGTGGGAGGAATCAGCCCCTACAATTAAAAAAAAAGGCTGTTTTGTAGGAAGGCCACCTCCTCCTCTGGCCCAGTCCAGGTAGGGAGGGTCCATAAGATACGTCCCAGCTCCCTGCAGAGCCCAAGTGCCCAGTCAGGCACTGGGAGACAGCATGGGAAGCATCCCACCGCATTTCCTCCTCCTCCTGCCCACCCAGGACTGGTACCAGACTCGCTCAAGGTTGCCACAGTGCTTCTGCTCAAAGTTTCCTTTCATTGCTTCATCTGCTTTTGTGTTAAAGACACCAGAAGGTGAAGATGATAGTGCTCGAGTCCTTCTAGGTGGAAGGTGATAAGAAGTTAACAGAAGTACCACTACTTTTCCATAGAAGCTATGAAACTGCTTTTGGAGAGCTTCCACAGAGTACCAGTGCTACACCACACTCCCCACCCCATGGCTTTCAGTGGCTTCATGCCTCAGGAGGCCATGATCCCCCTCCTGATCCTCTCCATACCCTTCCACCACAGTCCTACCAACACCCAGCAGGCTCTTCAGCAGCTCTGCCTTCCCCAGGAACTGGCAGTGGTCTACATGGGGCATGCAGGTTTGCAAGAAGCCAACTCAGATCCCACCTCTCCCATATTCAAGTTTCCTAACTGACCCTCTGAGGCTCCTAGAAGGACCAGCTCTCCTTGAGCCACCTACCCAGCAAGCAGCCACATTCACAGAGCAAGTGGGCATCACGTGGAGGTACCGAAAAGAGGAAACACACTAAGAATCAGCAGCATCTCACAGGTTGTGAAGGAAAGGTGCTAGGAGAAAGCAAGGCGCTAGGATGGACAAGTAGTTCAAGAACCTTTCAAAAAAAACCCCAAAAAACCCCCCAACAACCAAAAACCCACCCCAAAAAAACCCCAAACAAAACAACTTCTACCCCATCATCTAGTGCCTTTAGCTTCTTGCCCCCACCCACAAGCGTCCCTGCCTGTGAGTGGGAAGCCTAGTTGGGCTGTTTGGGCATCACTATCACAGCTACAAGTTTGTAATTTTGGATGCATTTCATTGGACCTGATTTTCTTGAAGTGCCAGTGCGGGACTAGAGGTGCAGAAGCTGGTAGGGAGGGAGAGCAGACAAGAAAAGAGAAGCACAAATTAATGTTTGGCAGTAACACGTTAAGGAACAATGAGAAACGTGAAAATAAAAGCAAAGCATTTGAGAAGAATGAAATTAAAACTTGGGGAATTTGGGGTAGTAAAGAAGTTCTAAAGAAAAGAAGCACAAGAGAATATTCCTGTTCGACTTGTCTCCCTCCTCAAGAGCTAAAGGCAATGGACCTTCTTGGCCTGCACACAGGCACCCTCCCTTTCCAAATCAGCATGCCCAAAACTCTTTGTGCACTCATTCCAGGCAGCAGAAAGATCTGGAACATGTTTCAATTCATGCAAGGATTAAGAGAAGGGAAGAGAACACTCCGTTTCTCCTTTTCTACATTCAAATCAGAGGAGAAAAAAAGCTATTTAAAACCAACCCAAAGCAGTAAACACAGTTACTCTCAACACTTTTGCCCAAGAAACAAAAGCACCAAA